CGTCATTGTTGTTTGGCAGGTCCGGGCTGGGGATTCGAACCTGCCACCTTAGGTGTACGTGGCTGGCGCCTTAGCCGGTTGAGCTATAGGCGCCGAGCCCTAAAACACTTTTCTTGTTGGGTGTCTTTTTATCCAGGGAAGGTTTAAATTTAGAGTTGAAGTCCTAAAGCTTTCTTATTAAGTTTAAAATAATTTTTGGCTGGACGTGGTGGCTTATGCTTGTAATTTCAGCACTTGGGAGGCCCAGGTGGGTGGATTGCCTACGCAATCTCTAAAAATAGCCGGGGTGTTGTAGCAGGGAGGCCTGTAGTTCCAACTACTCTGGAGGCTGAGGCAAGAAACCTAGAGTTTCTTGCTGTGACCTATTATACTACGGCACTCTACCAAAGGTGACAAAGTGATACTCTTTCTCAAAAAAAAAAATTGTCTATATTTGTATTTAAGTTGAAATGTTTAGGAGATCTTGGCATATTAGAGATTCAAATTTAAAATGTGCAATTAAATAATTTGACTTGAAATTTGTGATTTTTTTAGCTCCAACTTACTGGATGACTGGCAACCTCTATAATTGTTTTCTGTCCAAGGACAAAAATAAGAAGTCTAGAGATTAAAGTAAAATTCTGCCCTGTCAGCTTGGTGCCTGTGGCTCAAGTGGCTAAGGTGCCAGCCACGTACACCCAAGGTGGTGGGTTCGAATCCAGCCTAGGCCGCCAAACAACAATGACAGCTGCAAACAAAAAAGAGCCGGGCGTTGTGGTGAGCGCCTGTGGTCCCAGCTACTTGGGAGGCTGAGGCAGAAGATTCGCTTGAGCCCAGGAGTGGGAGATTGCTGTGAGCTGAGATGTCACGGCACTCTACCCAGGGGGACAGCTTGAGGCTCCTGTCTCAAAAAAAAAAAAAAATCTGCCCTGTCATGTTCCTAAATAAATTACAAAAATTAAGGGTCACCTTTATGTTTTCATATTTGCCCAATAACAAGTCACGATACTGTAATTATGGGGGCTAGGGAGAGAGGCAAGGTTATCTTGTTTTTCTCTTATATTCTTCAATTTCCTGTGATGATTTTCAATTTTAAAAACAAAAGAATCTGAATTTTCAGAAAGGTCATTTTTTTTTTTTTAGAGACAGAGTCTCACTTCGTCACCCTCAGTAGAGTGCTGTGGCGTCACAGCTCATAGAAACCTTCAGCTGTTGGGCTTAGGTGATTCTCTTGCCTCAGTCTCCTGAGTAGCTGGGACTACAGGCGCCGGCCACAATGCCTGATAATTTTGTTGTTGTTGTTGTTGTTTTTGTAGTTTGGCCAGGGCAGGGTTTGAACCCACCACCCTCTGTATATGGGGCCGGCGCCCTACTCACTGAGCCACACGCCCCCCCCCCAAAGGTTTAAGGGAGTTATCACTAACTACAAAATAGCTATTAACCCTTTAAGATAAACCCTTACCTGTGAGTGAAGTTAACCCGCAAGGCAAAGCCTCTTAGCAGCTACATTTCTTCTAAATAATTTTGTTTAGCAATGATAGAAGTTAACTTTTTCAAGGTTTAAACATTAGCCAGGTATTTTACCTTCGTTATATAATTAAAACTTCACTCTATTTCAGAGTTTTCATTCATTCGAGGGTCCACCCTGGGTAGGCAACCCTTACTAAGCTCTGGAAATTCAGAAACTAGCATTACCGGCTTTGGTCAGTCACAGATAGCTTAAATCTAGTTAATTATATTGTCCCCTTTTTCACAAGAGGAAATAAAAGATCTGCTCTGAGAGGTTAATTCGTCCAACGTCACACAGTGTTGGAGCAGCTACATGAACTAGGGCGTTTTCACTTTGTTTTCCCTTCAATCACAAACTTCTGTGAGATTTTTGCTTTGAAGATATCTATTTTTTTTTCAACATTTTTGTCTTCGAGTAAAAAAACCTTATAGTCAATGGCCTCTCTTTTGCCACTTCTTTTTCAGTTATTGACCAAAGATGCAAGTGGTGAATTTATACTTTTAACTGCCAGACATCTGGGAGACTTTAGGGGCGAGGAGCCAAGTCCCAGAGGGAAAGGGAAATATTTTAAAATAAACAATAGCAACCCTGAAACAACCCTAAGGACAGCCTAAATCCGGGGGACACAATGTTGATCCAATGCCAAGAGAAGCAGAATCTGTCTTTTGCACCTTCTCTTTGCTTTCCTTGACAATTTCCGGGAGTTTCTGTTAGCTCGACAGTCGAGGCCGCACCTAGTCCACGGGCTCCAAGTGGCAGGAAAACCTAATTTTTATTCCATATCCCTAGCGTCCTACTTTCGTACAGTTTTGTTATTCTCGCCTTCTCTCTTTATAACTTTTCCATTCCATCCTCAACCTCGGCAAATAACTTGAATATGGCTGTTTTATCCTATTCCCATATGCACTATGTTGCCTTATGGCGACCTTGACAGCCATCTGGGTGGGAGGCCGGAGCGACGGTGGCTGGATACGAAGGAGAAACCTTCAGAAGACAGTAAGGAGGCGACACGAAGAGGGGACGACCACGCAGCTCCACTCAGCGTGGAGTTTTCTGAAAGATTGACAGGCAGTGTACCAACCGTCTTTGCCAGATCAACTTGAGCAGCCTCGCGAGATCTGGACCCTTATCGGTAGGGGGGAGTCAAACGCGCCTCTCTGAATGGGGGATGGGAAGATCTGTGGCGCAATCATTGCGCGAGATTGGGTTATGGTTGCTGGGGCTATGCTTAGATCTCGCGATATTTCGGCCTCTCTGGTCTGGAATTTGGGGCAGTGTCTCGCGAGAGCCCGTGCTGCGGGCTCTAGGAGACCCCGTGTGTTTGTGTGTGTGTATGTGTGTTGGTGAATGTGAGTACGGGGAAGCAGCGGCCGCCATTTCAGGGAGCTTGCCGACGCTGTCGCAGGGGTGGATCCTGAGCTGCCGAAGCCGCCGACCTGCTCTCCCGCGCGGGCTCATCTAATCCCATTGTTTCTTTTAGATTCGCTCGGGCCTAGCCGCCCTTGGAGCCCGATATTCGGGCTGGGCGGTACCGCGGCCTGGGCCTAGGGGCTTAACAGTAGCAACAGCGGCGGCGGCCACGGTAGCAGCTGCAGTCGTCGCCGTCTTTTCCTGAGTACGAGCACCACAGGCGCCCGAAAGCCCGCACAGGTACGGGAGCGTCGCGACCCCGCATATTATTAGAGCTTTTTCGAGTTTTTGTTTTTTTTTCGGGGTTTAGGGGGGTCTTAAGCGATGGGGGGGGCTCCTCGAGAATTGGGCTCTATTTTAAGGACCACACCCTTCTGTTTCGGTCTGATAAAGTCAGGGTTATTCGGGTGGCAAGGACCCCGGTGGGGCCTCGGGCAGATGGCTACCCACCTTCCAGGCCTGGGCTGGCCCCGACCTCCCAACATGGCGCCAGTCGAATGCTGCTTTGGCACACAACCCCTCCCAGCAGAGGGAGTTTCCCTTTGCCCCTAAAATGGCAGCGCGGGTTTTGCGTCGAACGAGACTGTCGTTGGAGTCTCTTGTTTTTAGAATTACAGCAGGCTTTTAAAAAATCGGACATTTAAGTATCCATTTCGTATCTTCGGTCTAAGAGGCGTTTCAGATTTACCTTGACAAGTGAAGCTTTGAAATGTGTTAATTCAGTTCTTAGGTTTTTAGAGGTTTTTCTGAAGTTTAGGAGTGTGTCGGCTCAGAATTGAAAAATATTTACTGACAGGATTGTCTGGTTCTTTTCTTAGGCGTTTAGAGAAAATGGCAGACGATATTGATATTGAAGCAATGCTTGAGGCTCCTTATAAGAAGGTGAGAAAAAACATGTTGGCGAGGTTTATGTGTTTCTTAATTTAGCATTATTCACGAAACTACTGCTGAAATGTAAACTAACCTCCCCGGAGCCCTCTTGATTTACCTTATCAGAGATGCATTACGTGTAACTTACAAAAGTAAATATATGCTATTGATGTAATAATATTGTGCAGTAGTTTCACTTCAGCGTGATGAATAAATGCCCATCTATCTCTCTTTGTAGACTTGCCTAACGATATCTCACCTCTACTCCCATGAATTCACCTTTGATTCCAGTGTGAACTGTCAATCATAAGGTAGTAATTGAGTGACTTATCGCTGTACCGTGGTCCCCTAGGTAAAATGACTCAACTAAGAATTACCAGCTCCAGTTTGGTATAGCAAAAAGGTGAATGTAGTGGTTTGGGAAATAGCAGGGGTCCAAGAATAACAAACCATAACCAGTCTGTGGCAAGTAAATCTTTTAATAAGATAAATCTTGTAAGAAGAAATGGGTGAGATTTAAAAACTTTTTTCATATATATATACACACACATATATATAAGACTGGTGATAGTAAATCTTAAAACAGGCAGTTGGTGATCTGCTCAGTTAATAATTACTGAAATTCTTGGATCCCTGAATAGAAATTTTTTTTAAAAAGGCAGTATCACAACTTAGAGTCACTTGATGACTGTTTTACTGTTCTCCATATTTTATTTTTAATTAGGCCCTGCCATAGTATTTCACACTAAAAACTACAACAATTATTTTGGCTAATAATAGAGTCTTTGATCCATTTCAGTATCACAGTAAAAGTTCAGTAAAAGTAAACTGTCATTTCATTCTTTCACCAGTTGGTGGTGAAAATAGCAGTATGCATGCATTATCACTGGTGTCACCAACTGTAAGCTTTGTAAAGTAGCAGTTAATACTCCTGTAGCTGATGTGATCAAACTTTAAACATTGCTCTAAACCTTTGAAAAATAATACTTTGTTTTGGATTATATAGCACGACCATGTGGTACCAATTTGGATGAATTCTTGATAGCTTTAAATAGTGTATGTAGTTTTGTAATGCTTAGACTCTTGAAGAGCTACTTTCTGTTTTAATGTTAAGATTCTTGTGTCTTAGTTTAACATGGATGTAATTCCATGTAAACAGGTATGGAATTTGGAAATGTTTAGGTTGGACTGGTGGATTATTAATTGACTTTCTTGGGTTCTTGGGAGTCAACATTACTAAAGCAGTGTGAATCCCTGTTTGCTTCAGGGCGAGATGTGTGACAGAGGTGGCATCAAGCTCTTACAGTCCCAACCCTCCAACGGAAATGGGCGAAGATCTCAGGAATGGCATCGGTCACAGGAAATCGATAGTGGCTGGCTGCTAGCATGGCCACATGGGGCTTAGGCAGAAATAGAGCCATGGTACTGACCGAAGGGACCATAGAACATGGAATAAAACTCAAAACAGGACTTCATTCATGTTTTATAGAAATCATATTTAACCACTTCAACATTGTAAATCATGATAACCTTAATACCTATATAAGAAAGTAAAACTTAACATGTTAATGTGGAGAGATTTTAATTTTTGTATCTTGATGACTTTAATTGTAAGTAACAAAGTGGTTAAACACATACCCATCTAAATTTTTTTATAGCCTTCCATGTTAAACTATAAATAAGTAATTAGTTTTAAAATTGTTTTGTATTTTCTTATTCCTGTTCCCTTTACCCTTTGACAACTTGAAATGTTACCACTTCGTCCTCATGATGTTCTTCTATCAACCCTGCTTAGGATGAGAACAAGTTGAGCAGTGCTAATGGCCATGAAGAACGTAGCAAAAAGTAAGTTTTAAGAAGGGGCTTTGGGGGGTGGCGGTACTGTGATTGAGAACTTAAGTTGTGTTCTTGTGGCTAAAACGTCAAACTGGTTCTCTTTAAGCCTTACTTTGCCTCTTTCAGAAAAGAGTTTCTTGTTGGGACTAGAAACTTCCTGAGGAACTGTGGACTTTTGGGCCAAATTTCAGGATTCAGGTGTCAGAGACCTTCTAAGTCCATCCTGATACTGGGCTAAGAGTTCCTGTATTAGAACTTGTCTTTTGTTTTAAATTTGTTAATTTTGGCTTAATATTTGGTGTTAATTGATAAAATCACAATTATCGAACTTAAAAGGGAGAAGAGTTAAATTAGAAATAATAACAGGCCAAGGAAAATATTGTTTGCCCAAAACCGCTGAAGGAGTCAAAGCTGTGAATTACTTTCACAGCTTGCTACTTAAAGGCTTTTTTTATAATAATGTAATAGCATACTTAAGAAAAGGCTAAGCCTTTTCTTTAAACTTCATTATACTTAGTGAGAATGGCATTTTTGGAAGTTAATGAACGTTTATATAATTTATTTGGGTTTGGGGAGTAACCCATAATGGGAACTGCTACAGAGTAGTACAAACAGTAGTATACAAAAGTCTTAATAAATTACTTGGGAGTGGAGGCAGGAGAGTCGCTTGAGCCCAGGAGTAGGAGGTTGCGTTGAGCTGTGCTGCCACAGAACTCTACCTAGGGCAACAGCTTGAGGCTCTTTCTCAGAAAAAAAAAGTCTTAATAATTAAAACCAGTTCTATTTTAGAAGTTGGTTCCTGTCAGTTCTCGAAATTTCCTTTCTGCTGTAAGGTTAGGTCGTGTTAGAAGCATTAAATAGTTTTATTAGCTTATGTTTATGGTGCCATACTAAAACATTTGTCATATTTATGACCCCGTCATACTATATAATGAAAAATGATGCTAAAGTAGCCATTCATATGTTTTGTCTCTTCCTCTTGAAACTCAAAAAAATGCCTCATAATGACTATAACTGTATTAGGATGATATAATTTATTAAAATAGATAAGAAAATTTTGGATTGGATTATTTAGGGATTGCTAAGCCAATATTTTATTTTTTATAGCTATCCTAAAATAGTGGTAGTAATGAATTTAAAATGATGTGGTTTGTAGAAAATGTCCTACCTTGTTCTGATATGAGGTTGGGTGGAGTCAGTTTTAGGTCCTCACTATTAATGAGTTAGTGTGGGGATTTATTCTTGAATTGCGGTCTGAAGCAATCAACCAGTCATTGCATGGTTTAATGTCATCTGAATTTAGACCTTTAACCAAGTAATAGTTAGCTATGTTTGTATTTAGTAGTTCTTATAATCAAAACTTGGAAGGGAAATCCGTATAAATTGACATAATCCAATCTAGGTGTTAGGCCTAGTGGTGGCTATAAGTAAAGATTTTTATCTCAAGTGCCAAAAGGATGAGGACATAATAAACTTTCAGGTGCAGACCCTCTTTATTGTACCATTCTTCAGTATCACTTCTTGCCACCTAAGGTCATTTCTCCAGTTTATCTTGTTTTTTTTCTTGTGTCTAAGCTTATTAAAGTTAACCAAGCTTTTACAAGGAAATTGAACATCAAGCTCTCTGTGTGGTATTTAGTGGCATTTATCTAATGTAAAGAGTCCCCTGGGACTTAATGGAACATACAAATTGTCCTTAATTGGTCAGAGGATTCTTTAAGGGAGGACCCTTTCAAAACACTTCATCTAGTAATCTCTTAAAACGTACAAAATAGTTGTCTGTCAGATTTCTCATTCATTCTCATTCATTCTCAATTATAGCTGATTGAAGAAATGGCTCTCTGGTTTAGTTAGGTACTTTTTACCCATTTTTCTGAAGGAACTTTATCTTTTAAGTTAATTGGAAAGAGTTACCTGGAAGAAAATTTTTTTATTTAGGGGTAGATATAAAACATGTAATTAAGTTTTATAACCAAAGGAAAGTACCATTTTGCACTTTTCATTCGAAAACTTTGTTGTCTTAAAAGTCATTAAATGCTGAAATAAAGTTTGTACGGTAATAAGAACATTCATGTCCTCAGAAATAAGGTTGACTAACAGAGGTTTTTTAGTAGTACTGATGTACAACACATACATTTCATTGTATCCTAATAAAAATTAATTTAACATAAACTGGTTACCAGTTAGCCTACTTTCTGAAGAGTTGTAACCCTGAGTTTGGCAAGATCTCAAAGTATATCTCTCAAGTACCTGAGTTTGCCTTCATGGGAGTATTATTTGTTAGTGTAACCAGTTTTGCATAGTCTAAACCAGCATCCATTTTGTTAAGCTCTTTAGGGAATTACTCAAAAAAAAAAAAAGATAATGACACAGTTGCAATATATTGGCTACTATGGTATGGATTATCTATAAATCTTGGAATAAATGACTTTTCTATTTTTTTTTCTTATTTTCCAGAATACTTTGCATTTAAAATTTAGATCTTCTTACATGGAAGAGGTCAAATCCAGTTATAGCAAAACACCTTTACAGCAGAGGCCATATAACCAAAAAGTCCAAAGGCCCAACCCAGTGGATCATTTACTTCAATGATGTTCAGTACAAAATTCCACTGCCACTAAAGACTTTGGAAAGTCCCTTTTAAGTTGTAACAGGATTTGACTATTAGTGTGGATTATGATAATACTTTTGTTAAATGCCCTTTGAAGCTAGAATTTATTGTAGAGACGTATACTGGTTTCTTGAACCTTCATATTTTTCTCTGGGCTTTTAAAAAAGCAAAAGATTAATATTTTCTGAATATCTTAGTAGGTTGCTATCTTTTTACCTGTTGGGGGTTGCCTTCAGATGTGGGTGGGCACTTGTTTATAAAATGTTCTAGGAAGGCCTTAAGTTAAAATTAGCTCTCCAATTTTCAAGTCGTTGTTACGGCAGAATAAATTTTGGGGCCTTTGAGAGGCAAATAAAGTTTGACTGCCTCTGTGCTATGGTCCATTTATGAGCAAAGCAAAAACTTTGTCCTTTTTTGTGGGGGATAGAGTTGCTTTTTACCTTATCCCCAATTGAATTGATTATATTCTCTTTAGGACTTGGTTTTAGCTATCTTAACAGAATTCTTTAGTTAGTGTCACAGATTATCACGTTTTTCAGGCAACAAATTTGGAATGTTATCTGTTGCCCTTCTGGGCGTTGCTTTGATGACTTCTATCTAAATAATGAGTGTAGCCTAATTTTCTGTCGTGTGCTACCTAGCATATACATTTCTGACAGTCAGGTGGATTATCTTGAAATTTTAGACAAAGTTTCTGCCTCCTTGGAAAGCTCTACATCTCCTTGTGATTGGAGTGTGGGTTTCAAGATTCCAGAAGGTGGGTGTCTTCATTTTCTATTTTCAATGCACTCTAAGATGACCTGCTTACAGGTTCTGAGGCAGACCTCAATTACACTTGTGCTGTAATAATGCTTTGATAAGGACCAGTTAATTTCCAAATGATGTAGAGTTGTCAAAATGTTTAATTTCTAATGCACTACAAGTTGGCATCTTAATGGAATAAATCTATTTTGAAGTCTCTGAATTTATATTGAAATCTGAAGGCACCTCTAAAATTTGGGTGATGACACAGGTACAGATGGAGATTTAATTATGAAATGAGTAAGTGATATACTGTGAGGAATACAGAAATGAATAGAAATGACTGGCTTTTTTACCCTTTAGAGCTTGAGATTTTATAAAGACTTATGAAGTTCAGGTTGATCTTTGTTTTTGATTGCACCCCATAGGCTTCTATAAACTGGCTTAAAAGTGTCAGGCTCCATTTTCTGGTATATTTGTTATAACTGGAAATAGAAAGTATTTGAAATAGTCACGTTAAAGGAGTGTCAACATATTTTACTGCATTAATTCTTAGTGTCCTTTGTCATTTCCTAAAATTCTCCCCACAAACCCCAAAATGTTGGAGTCTGTGTGGACATTTACAAATCAGTTTCCATTGGTAAACTGGGTCAAAGCTTATTTAAAGTAAATTCGTGGTGGTGGTGTCTGTGGCTCAAAGGAGTAGGGCGCCAGCCCCATATGCCAGAGGTGGCGGGTTCAAACCCAGCCCCAGCCAAAAACTGCAAAAAGAAAAAAAAAATTGTATATTTGATGAGAATTTTCTATATGAATCTATACTAGTACTTATGTGAACATGTTCTGTTGTAACTTTGATTTACTAAAGGATCTTGCGGGTTATAGTAATAGGCCTGTGATGATGGTCAAACTTTATTTAAAAGTGCACATTTTATGTATATTTGCTAACAAATCATGTTCCTTGTTAAAGTTGTAGCTGACTCTGAGGAGAGCATTATAATTCCTACTCTTAACGGATGTAGTCTCAAAAAATTCCGTGACTGCTGATTTTCAGTGATAGAAGGCAAAGAGGTGCCAGGCGCAGTGGCTCACGCCTTTGTAATCCCAGCACTTGGGAGGCCTGAGCTCACAGGTTCGAAACCAGCCTGAGCCATCTCTAAAAATAGCTGGGCATTGTATCAGATGCCGGTAGTCCCAACTACTTGGGGGCCTGAGGCAGGTGGATCGTTTGAGCCCAAGAGTGTGAGGTTGCTGTGAGCTGTTACTCCACGGCACTCTACCGGGGTGACAGATATTCTGTCTCAAAAAGAAAAAAGGAGGCAAAGAGGGAGTGTTTATTATATACCTTAGTATGACTATGCATCGTTGTGTGCCAGAAATAACACAGTAAATTAACAAAGGGAAAAAAACACTCTGTCCACAAAGGTAGTATGTTTTGGTGGGTTCTTAAACCAACAAGATGATGGTGAATATTTTTCTTCTCAGGAGGAAAAAAAGCAAGAGCAGAAGTCGTAGTCATGAACGAAAGAGAAGCAAAAGTAAGGAACGGAAGCGAAGTAGAGATAGAGAAAGGAAAAAGA